GCTTCAAATTGAAGAGCGTAAGCTAGCCCTCTTGGAGCGGGTTCTACAAGAAAATTCATAATAGTAGGCTTTGAAATTGATGATGACAGTTCCTGAATTGTGATTTTAGTTTTTTTATTTTAGGTATCAGAAGTGTGTTTTATGTTTTGCTAAAGTTACCTGCCTAAATAGGTAATATTATTATTTTTTTTATGTTCATAGAAGAAATCTCTTTTTTTTTTCTGTTGATAGAAAATTTGCTTTTGTTATAAGAGTTTACTTGGTATTTTTTTAAGGTAAATATAGGTACCTACCTTAATTTTTTGTTAAAATATTTCCTACTAAAATGTTCTTTGTATTTGTGAAAATAAATATATCTCTGGATTTTTTGTATATTTTATTTATTTATTCACAAGGCTCCTTCCCAATAATTATTACATAACATTTCCTGAATTAAATTGCATATATTAATTGTGAGCGAAATTTAATTTACGACCAGCTACAGAATAATTTTTTTTACAATAACTAAATATATATCTTGATCCGCTAAATACCTACTTGAAAAATAATAGAACACAAAATAAGTTTGAAAGGTAAAACAAAGATTACAAAAAAATGTTCATACTGTTATTACTCTCTATACAATAATTGAAATAATTCATTTCTTCTGGATCTATTCTCTTCAATGTTTTGAATGTCCTCAGGATTAGCATTTTCATCTATGATTTCTTCTTGAGGTATAAACTCTTCGCCCAGGTCATCCCACATAATACACAAATTGTGAAGCACTACTGCAGCGACAACTGCATTTACAAGAAAATCAATGTTCTTATTTTCAAAATTTGTCAGCCTCCTAAACTTGCCTTTAAGAAGCCCAAAGGCATGCTCCACAATAATTCTTGTTGAAGATATATTTTTGTTAAAATCAATTTGTGCATTAAGGTGCGTTTACACATGCATGGATTTAGTGGCGCCAATACAAACTGGCGCGCCAGTAAATTTTATTAGCAAGTGTAAACATGGACTTGCATACACATTTTATATTTGTATGCATAGTCCAAAAAAGTCTGCATCCTTCTGAAATCACTGGCGCCAGTGGTGACAAATTCGTACAGAAAATCAAAACTTGCAAGTGTAAACAAGTGCTTGCACGTCGGCGTCGGCGTCCGCTCGCCAGTTTTTCGTTTGATTTTCATTTCAGTTGCTGCGAGTTCTCCTAGAAGTTTTGCAGAAGCAGCTAAAGTGGGTCGACGACCAATCCATGGTTCAACCCAGAAACGGCCATTTCGTTGGTTGCGTTTCTTTTTCTGTATTTCTTTCATCTTTTTTTTTTCCTAAAAGTTTAGCGACTATTTCACATGCTTCGGAAAGTTCACTCGACATAGTGCACACTGAGAAAAGCACTTTAAAAGTGAAACTGGCGTGCCACTTATTTCTGTTTTTCACACAAAGTGTAAACCTTTACTGGCGTGCAAATAGAACTGGCGCGACCACTGGCGCCACTAAATCCATGCATGTGTAAACTCACCTTAAGTGCTTGCACGTCGGCGTCCGCTCGCCAGTTTTTCGTTTGATTTTCATTTCGGTTGCTGGGAGTTCTCCTAGAAGTTTTGCAGAAGCAGCTAAAGTGGGTCGACGACCAATCCATGGTTCAACCCAGAAACGGCCATTTCGTTGGTTGCGTTTCTTTTTCTGTATTTCTTTTATCTTTTTTTTTTCCTAAAAGTTTAGCGACTATTTTACAGGCTTCGGAAAGTTCACTCGACATAGTGCACCCTGAGAAAAGCACTTTAAAAGTGAAACTGGCGTGCCACTTATTTCTGTTTTTCGTACAAAGTGTAAACCTTTACTGGCGTGCAAATAGAACTGGCGCGACCACTGGCGCCACTAAATCCATGCATGTGTAAACTCACCTTTAGTTAAATGCCCATCATCCTTGAATGGACAAACAATCCAATTAAGGGCCGTGGGATATGCCGAGTCCCCAAGGAGAAAGTAGGGATGTGGGCTATTAGTATTTAACTTTTCATAGATTGGAGACCGCCTTAGCATCCTTGCGTCATGCATGCTACCAGGCTCACCCATATAAATATCTGTGAATATTTTTTTATTATTTACAATGCCTTGCATGAGCAGACTATGGTAGCCTTTGCGGTTCACATAATCTTCTTGATTGTTTTTGGGTCTCCGGATTCTTATGTGAGATCCATCAATAGCTCCAATTACATATGGAATGCCATGATTGTTGAATGCTTCTGCAAGTGTAGGCCACTCGTTTTCTAACGGCCATTTAATGAAATCTGTACTTTTTTCCTTGATTAATTTAATAATATAGTTGATGGTGTTCCAACAAGCACTTTCACTAACGTTAAATCTATCAGCGACCTCTCTGAAACAGTTTGTGTTTGAAAGGTACCATATGGTCATATGTACCGCTTTGGCTTTGGTTATTTCTGGCCAACCCCCTATGTAGTTTTTTTCCCACTGAAGCATATCTAAAAGATGCAATCACTGATTATTATAGCATATTCTATACCAAGCAAGATACACTTTACCACAGATACGAGCAACAGATCTTCTGGACATTCTGAAATGTTGCCTGTATGTTTTATCTGAATACTTTGGCACAGTTTCTTCAAAATAATTAGTTACTTTAATCCTTTTCTCCCTTATTTGTTCCTCAAAATCACTCTCATATATAAGGGAATCGTCGGAACTACTACTGGAACTACTGCTTAAAAGGGAGTCTGCTACTGGGGTTGGATTAGTTAGAGTTTCCTAAAAACAGGTATTTAGGATAATTAGGTACGAAAAAAGTTGTACTTCTATTAGGTAGACTTACCAAAATTAGTCGTCTCTTCATTTTTTTTTTTTCAAATTAATGAAATCTTTGATAAAAATCTTCCTAAATAGGTAGGTACAATGGAATGGAATAGGGTAAAAAATAAACTTTCAGAGATTGTGGTTATGTTTATCAAAAGTGCTTCATCTTCTTTTGTAACATCTGAACACAACTAAAGTGAAACTGAAGTGATTGCTCCTGTTCAGATTCACTTAATTGTTTCACTTGTTCATTTCGTTCAGAACGAAAGAATATTACTATTATCGACATTATCGCATCGTATTTGCGTTCTCATCCTTATCGCTGCGAGATTTTCACAAGAGTTCTCAGAATTTTTTTTTCTTTAATTTCTGGAGACATGTTTTATTTTAAGGTTACACCCCCTTTAACAACTCGAAAATGGCTCGACGGACTTGAATATATTTTTTTTGTACTCCACAATACAGGCCACAGGGGTGGTTTAGAAAAAAAATAATAAAATCATGAGGAGTAGCATAAAAATCGAAAAAAATAGTTATTTATGCATTTTTTTATAACAATATTATAAAATTATAATAAAATTAAATGAAGAAGTTTAAATACATAGATATTTTTTATAAAATAATGGGTCTGTTTCAATTGAATTTAGTATAAAATATATGTAAGTATTTAGTTTTCACAAGTGCCATTTAAAAAAAAAACGCTCCATTCAGCGAGCCCACCCCCTAAACTGCTGCAAAATGAGATTACGACTCACTATGTCCATCTGAACAAATTGTCAAAACTATACATTTTTCTCGCAAAAAAATACACATTGCCTGGATAGAAGAGTCATGTTCCAATTGAGGAAAAATGCAAACTGCATACAATTAGAAGGTTCATATTACTAGCTGTTCCCCGCGCGTTTACCCGCCGCCGTTTAAAAGAAATCGGATTATTGGAATGTTTCGAAGCAAGAGCACCGCACAAACAAACTCTTCAGCTTTATTATACAGTCAAACTCGGATATAACGAACCCTCAAAGGTTACCAGAAAGTTTGTTGTAGCCGAGCGGCCGTTATAGGCATAAAATGAATTTTTTTAAAAAATCATTCCGGAAGAGATTGATGAACTTCTGGCCTAGAAGAAATCTCGTAGTTTTTTTTTGTTGTGGGTGCGTTTATGTGTTGAACTTTGACAAAATTTTCTCTGTTAGCTCATATCGTTGAAACAGTCGACTTTGACAGTTTATAGTCCCTGCAGATTGCAGCATTTGCTGCCCCATTCTCAAGTTTATTGATTATCTCGATTTTGCGACTCAAACTTATTGCTTTGCGGTTACTTCCTAACTGATTCTGTTCCTCCATCATAATGATAGAAAAGCGCTGCACATCACCTTGACAGAGGATGCTGATAAAGTATGCATTCTTTTTTCATCGATGTATCCATAATTATGAGACAGCCATTTCGATTTTCTATGATTTAGATTAAGATAGACTGGTCATGGATGGATCCAGCGGTGAAAAAAAGAATGCGCTTTAAGTACCAACATGCTATGGACACGGAAACAATCGCGTTTCACGTTTAATTGTCGCAAAACTGGTGGGGGAAAAATCAAAGATGAAAAAATGTCTCGCTAGTTCGTTATAGCCGATAACATTATCAAAATTTGATGGAGAAAATAGGTCGCTACATCCGAGCGTTTGTTATAAACGAGCTCGCTATAGCCAGGCAGAAATATATGTAATAATATTGAATTGTTTTTGGGATTTTATTTTTGTTCGTTATAACCAAGACTTCGTTATATGCCGTATTCGTTATATGCCGTATTCGTTATATGCCGTATTCGTTATAAACGACTTTGACTGTATTTGAATTTTCATATTTTTTAATAAAAAATTTGAATTTCTATATTTTTATAAATATATTTAAATAAATGTGGCCGTGACTATATACCCACGTGTATGTGAATGAGTTTGTTTATACATAATTATTTAAAAACATTTTTTTTTTCAATATTCTTTTTTATGAATAGAAAAGTGTCCTATTTTCTTTACTATAGTCTTGAACATATGTGTACAAAATTTCAATTTCAGTCAAACTCACATTCCCATTTATAATATTAGTTAGGATGCAACAAGCGGCACAGACTATTTCTGAAAAATCATAATTTTTTTCTGGGTTAATTTTTTTAAACGTTTTTTTTTTTTTTTTGTTTTAGCCATCTAAAGCATTAGATTCTGCAAATTCACCTCACAAAAATACAAAAAAAGCTGACGAAAGAATTGAAAGCAAATGTGATCACCGCCATCGTCAAGGAGAAAGAATGAGAAGTTATAGCGGACATAGTTCAAGTAGAGATAGAAGAAGTCCAATTAGAGGTAGGAGTTCCACTAGACCAAGGAGGAGTCCAACTAGAGATAAATGGAGACCAACTAGAGCTAGAAGGAGTCCTACTAGAGATAGGAGGAGTCCTACTAGAGATAGAAGTCGTTCAACTAGACGTAGATCTAGAAGCGGAAATAGGAGTAGAGGTAGAAGTAGAGATAAAGCAGGTATAGGCCGCAGTCGAGATCGTCGAGTATCAAGAAATAGAGAATCAGATTTACGAAATAACAAAAGAGATTCGAAAACTGATACTTCTGCATTGAGTGAACGAGAAGTAATACTCAATGAATGGAAAAGTAACTTCTGTGATACACTTGAGAAAATTAATGAGAAGCTTGATGAATACTCCACTAAGCATGACGATATCACACATTCTGAAAAAAAGATTTGGACAAGATCAACTCCAGCTGAACTATATTATCAGAAAGATGAAGCTAGTTTTAAAACAACTATTGGCACACAAAAATTAATCAACCTATGTACAAGTTTTAAAGAGAACTTGGTAGATAGAGCTGAGAAAGTGAATAGTGTAAAGCCAAAATATGAACCACCTGCTAGGACATATTACAGGAATATGTGCAAACATAAAACTGAAATCAGCAGTGATTCAGATAGCTCAGGGGATAGTTTTTCCGAAGCAGAAGAGGATAACTCTATGGAAGAACTACAGCGAAAGCAGCAACATCCTGATAGGCTCGATCCAGAAATGTGGTACAATGACCCTGGAGAAATGAACGATGGGCCATTATGTAGATGTTCATATAAATCAAAAAAGTCTGGGATTAGGCATGGAATTTATCCTGGTGAAACACCTATACCTAGATGTTCTATTTACAGTAATAATGTTGACAAATTATTTCACTATCGGATTATTATATCGCCTCCCACTAATTTTTTAATTAAAGCGCCTACAATTATCCAATATGATGAGCATGAGTATATTTTTGAAGGCTTTTCCCTATTGTCACATTTTCCTTTGGCAGAACTTCCACCCTGCAGAGTTATTCGATTTAACATAGAATACACAATACTATATTATGAAGAAAAATATCCAGATAATTTTACTATAGCGGAAGTAGATCTGTTCACCATGTATCTGTTTAAAGAAATATTGGAATTGGTGGATCTAGACATAGTAAATCCACTGGATAGTGACCACTGTTCACAGTTTCACTTTTTACCCAGATTTGTGAGAGAATTGCCAGAGGACGGAAAAGAAATTTTATGTATGCAACAAGTTCTAAAGTATCTTACAGATCATTCAAACCCACTTATTGAAACTAGTCATCTGGAAAATATGGTGAAAATGTCACAATATGAATGGCAAAATTTCGCTGATGGGCTTAAAGGCACGGTAGTAACATATCCTGGAAAGAAACCGTCATCCGTGAGAGTGGATCAATTAGATAGAAACATTGACCTACAAAAAAAAGGAGACTACCAATTTCCTGAAATTGTACATTTTGGGATACGTCCACCTCAATTGAGTTATGCAGGTGAGGCCTTAAATAATTTTTATATCCTACTGAACTATTATAACCATATAATACCTTGGTTAAGAAAATCAAAAACAGGGTCTTAACTCCCGCGCGGAAGTTAATATTTCATAACTCCCGCTTTTACCTGGAGAGGTACAACTTTGAGAAAAAATTTTGGTTTATGGTTTGTTCCTTTATAAAAATGAACAAAATACAGAAAATTCAGTGGGAAATAAAATAATCTATGTACCACGGAAATTATCAGGTGTGCCAAGGGCAATCGGTGTCCCTCGGGCCAAAGGCCCTTGGGACACAAACTTTGCCCTGGTGTATTACCATCCCCATAATTCCCTTGATACGTAAATAACTATTATTCTAAAAAATCCTTTTTGATTTAAACCTGAAGACGCAACAAATTATTATGTAGGACAATCATAATAAAAGCGATAGATAGTTATACTCTTATATTTAAAATATATCAAATTAAGGCTCGGTTTATTCATCTTCAGATAAACTTGCTGGTAACTATCTGCAAAATAAATTTATCGTTCTATAATTCTTTTGGTCGGTGGATAACTGGCCAACCAATGGGATTACAGATTGCGTTTTTATCTGTCAGATTGCATACTTGACAATTTATCAGAAGGTGAATAAACCGGCCCTAAATAATATAGACAGATAGGGGACTTAAACAGGCTACATACAACTTACAGTAATAAGGTCAAGACTCTGTAAAAGTTCACCATGCACCCTGCATAATGCATTCTCAGTACTTAAGGTTTTCTTTGAAGCATATTGATTCTCATTAATTATATATTCCTAACATTAATGGCTCAAGGGTGGGACTTTTCTCAATTATTCCACTGATTGAACTTTTCCGAACAATTTATCTATGCTATTTTTTTCTGGTACAATTAATAGCGCCCATTGAGAATATCTGGAGATATTTCTGTCGTTAAATCGCAGGATCTTAGTGGCTAGTTGATGATACCACCTCACAATATAACAGAGCCTTCGAACTTCTGACATAATAAATTCATTTTGAATAATTATTCCTTTGGACATTTTCGAATAGAAAAAAAAAACAGAATAGGATTCGATTTGATTTCATTCAGTATGAGTTTTTCTATTTGTTCGCTCTAGATGCTGCATTAACTTACCATCATGTTTCTGAACCTATTCTTAAAAGGGCTTGAAAAGGATAACAATCGTTCTCGAAACGTCGCTTGTAATACATATACAGGGTGTCCCAAAAAGATACCGACAAATTTTAAGGGGTAGTAGGGGACATCAAAACAAGCATTTTTGTTTATATAAACATATGTCCGCAAATGAGCCATTTGGGCTGTAGAGCAAAAAAACTGTTTTCATTCTTCGCAATAATCAAATCACTGTTTACTTATTAATTTTGCTTTATTAACAAATCAATTATGGTTTACAATAATTGTTCAAAATGTTGACCATTTACTTCAATGCAAAGATTGCACCGTTGGGTCATTGACTCGCGAACCCTTTGGAATATTCCGGAAATAGCTTCTACATGGGTACAACTCGCCAGTATCCTTGCTAACAGATCTTCCTCATTACGAACAAGTGTTTCGTAGACTAAACTTTTCAGTCAATGACCCGACGGTGCAATCTTGGCATTGGAGTAAATGGTCAACATTTTGAACAATTATTGTAAACTATAATTGATTTGTTAATAAAGTAAAATTAATAAGTAAACAGTGATTTAATTATTGCGAAGAATGAAAGTATCAAATCAAAAATCAAGTTTTTTTTCTCTACAGCCCAAATGGCTCATTTGCGGACATATGTTTATATAAACAAAAATGCTTGTTTTGATGTCCCCTACTACCTCTTAAAGTTTGTCGGTATCTTTTTGGGACACCCTGTATGTAGAGTTTGTTTTCTGTATAGTTTGACTGGAAACAGATTGTCTTTTTATTCGCGCTACTACTTCCAAGATTGTTTTCACCTATATTAAAGTTATATAAATCGTCAAAGAAAAATTAATAACTATAATTATTCCTTAGTATTTCTCGAATAATGGTTGAGCTGAATGTAATAATATTGAACTTTTAAAAAAAAATTGAGAGGACTCCCAATTATTTATTACCTTACCAATATGAACATTTTGAAGTTAGGGTAATATGTACAGGGTCTGTTCCTTATAATTAGTGCGGTTTCTACAGCTTGAACAAAAAGAAAAATTAAATAAAATTTAAATACAAAAGTTGTGGGGTTCTATCTCTATTATCTTTTGCACATGTCAAAACGGGCAACTGACAGGTGCCAACTGTCATAATGACGAACATTTACCTTTTTTTAAAGAAACGCCCTGTATATTTTTGGATAGAATGATAGATTTTGTTCTTCTGACTCTTAATATACTATATGTATATGTCGATATTTGGTTAAGCTGTTCTTACGCTATTTAAGTTTAAAAATGCATTTACATTAGCCTAAAATTAGGTCTGTTATCGGTTTCTTATATCGATGATTAGGCTTGCTCAACTGATCAGATTCAGTTTAGCGACCGGGTATTTGCCAACTCAATGGAGAAGAGCCAAGGTAACCTTCATCCCAAAGGTAGGGAAAAAGGACGCCACTCTACCGAAGTCATTCAGACCTATATGCCTTACGTCGTTCTTACTGAAAACGGCAGAGAAAGTTGTAGATAACTACATCAGAACAAGTGTTCTAGTGTTCTGGAAAAAACGCCACTACATCCTCGGCAACATGCTTACAGAGCGGTACGATCAACAGAAACCGCTTTATTTGAACTCTCTGATAGCATCCAGAACACACTGCAAAATAAGGAAGTAGCCATCTGTGCTTTCTTAGACATAGAGGGGGCATTTGATAACACCTCTCATGAATCAATTAAGAATGCACTCGTCAGGAAAGGAGTAGACAAAACAACATCCACCTGGATGTGCGAAATGCTTGCAACCAGAACTGCAGAATCTGACGCAGGTGAGCAAACCATACAAGTCAACACAACTAGAGGATGTCCACAAGGAGGGGTACTATCACCCTTGATGTGGAGTCTAGTGGTTGATGATCTCCTTGGCGTACTGACCGACCAGGGCTTCACCTGCTTTGGATATGCCGACGACATCGTCATTATGGCCAGAGGCAAATTCGAAGGAATATTCTGTGACCTTATAGAAAAAGCACTTCAAACCACGAAGGAATGGTGTCAGTCAGTGGGGTTGAATCTAAACTCAGCGAAAACCACGCTGGTAACATTCACAAGAAAAATAAAACTCCCAAATCTGAGAAACATTTACCTCAATGGAAGCAAACTCAATTGGAAGCAAGAAGTAAAATTCCTAGGAATAACCCTAGACTCTAAACTTCTCTGGAATCGACACGTGGAAAACATAAAAAACAAAGCAATTTCGGCACTCATGGTCTGCAAAAATATCGCGGGTAAAACGTGGGGCTGTAACCCATCAATCTTGCGATAGATGTACACCATGATAGAGAGACCCATCATCGCCTACGGAGCAGTAGCTTGGCACAGCCAAACCGAGCTAGTAACAGCTAGGAAACCCCTAGGAAAGGTGCAAAGACTTGCATGTCTCTGTATAACAGGAGCAATGAGATCATGTCCAACTGCGGCACTAGAGGCCATAGTCGACCTCACACCACTTCACATAATACTGAAGCGGATTGCAAGTGGATCACACCTCAGACTGGCGAAGATCGCTATTCAAGGAAAATCGCATTCTGGTAGAGCTTTTCCTCTTCCAAACTGTTCACACCTTATGGATCTACCAAAAGATGAAACTATCAAGAAATATAGCTTCGAGAAACTATTTTCCATCGAACTAAGCACGAAAAACGAATGGAACTTAGATCCAATCCCTGAAAGCAAACACCATCAAATGTTACACAGACGGTTCCAAAACAGCTGAGGGAACTGGATCAGGAGTATTCGGGCCACGGACCAGATACTCGGAGCCTATGGGCAAGTCACCAAGCATTTTCCAAGCGGAATTGCATGCGATCGAAAGATGCGTGCAATTCAATCTAAACAAAAGATACTGGAAACGAGCAATTACGATAATGTCTGACAGCCAGGCAGCTATCAAAGCATTGAACTCACCAGTCATCAATTCTAAGATAGTATGGGAATGTCTACAAAAACTCAATGAGTTAGGAAAAGAAAACAAAGTAACTCTCCTCTGGGTGCCTGGGCACATGGGAGTTGAGGGCAACGAATGCGCATATGCACTCGCAAGAACGGGAGCTTCTACTCCCTTCACTGGGCCAGAACCATTCTGCGGTCTCGGCAATAGGCACTTCCAAGGAATCCTCAAAAAGGAAGAAAACCGGCTAAGAAACAAACACTGGCTAGAACAGCCAGGACTACGGCAGGCCAAAGATCTACTGGGCAATTTTAACCAAAAAAGATCAGAACTGCTAGTCAACCTTAGCAAGAAAAGTCTCAAAACGCTAACCGGGTTCCTCTCGGGACGCTGCAGAATCAAAAAACACCTACACAAATTAGGTCTGGGAGAAAATGGCACCTGCAGATTCTGCGAACACGGAGAGGAAACACCTCACCACCTTTTACTGAATTGTAATGCCATTAGTCGTTCAAGGATGAAGAATCTGGGAAGCCCCACCATATAGTTGGAAGATATTTCAACTCTGGAACCACTGGATATCCTAAGATTCCTTAAGGACCTAGGACTGGAGGGGCTGCTTTGAGCAGGAAGCCCTGACCTGGCAGCAGAAGGAGGGGTACAATAGATCTACCAGGCGGCCGATCCTCGGGCCAGGGAGTAGAGCTCCCCGAGAGAACAAATTTTTCGTCTTTATCATTCTTGTTCACTTTTCGATAACGTTGACAAGGACAAAACATTCGTTCTATCGAGGAGCTCTACTCCCTGGCCCGAGGATCCGGCCACAGGTCGCGGTGCAACTGACACCTCCAACACATACAACATACAACATAGGCTTGCTCAATGCAATTTACTTGAATAGCGCAAAAGTGGAACCAAATATCAAGACGTATGGTATATTTGGAATCAGAAGAAAAAAATCTATCATTCTAGCCAAAAATATATAAGGTGTTCCATTTAAAAAAAATGCATATGTTTGACATTAGGACAGTTGGAACCTGTCATTTGCCCGTTTTGACACGTGCAAAAGAATAGAGATAAAACCCTACAACTTTTGTATTAAACTTTGTTTTAATTTTTTTTTTGTTTAAGCTGTATTAGAAGCCGCATTAATTATGAGGAACAAACCCTATACATTATTATAATGTATTAAACATAGATAACTGTCAGCATGCTTCTCAAAATTCTGAAAAGTGAAAACATATCCTTAAGAATGTTTAATCATAAAATATGGTTGAATTATTAAATGCCTGGATAGTAACATTATAAAAATCAAATTCATGATTATTTTCAGGAAACCCAAAATACCAAAAAGCTTGGCGTGAATACGTTAAATTTCGACATTTAATTGCAAACATGTCCAAACCTACTTTTGAGGATAAAAGAAAGCTCGAGGCAAAAGAAAACAAACTTCAAGAGATGAGAACTCAAGGACAGATGAAACGCGACGTAACTGTTGCTGTATCAGCTAAAGGTTTTTATTGTACTGGTAGGTTAACAACTATATAGAAAATAGTTGAGCATCTTGCTTAAGCGTAGCTTGTTATTTTCCATGTAATTTATATTAAAATCGGCCAAATAAACTGTTTTTTTCTTCTAAAGTATCGTTTTCTAAAACATATAAATCTTCTATTCGACACAAACTAGCTAGAATATAGTCAAACAGTCTTGTCCTGTATCAAAGATATTTTTGTATATGTTCTATTCTTAAGCCACGGTTCTAAAGATTGGATGTGCGTTTTAATGCATGACGCCTCCATATTAGCTATTAAGCCTATTTCTTTTTCAGGCATAATGTGCGATATTGTTCAACACGCAATGCTTATGCCTGTATTGGTGTGCCATTTGAGGTTCCACAACTCTTTAAATACACTTGAGGAGTCGATTGGTTACAAGTTCAGAAATCGTGGGCTTCTTCAATTAGCTCTAACGCATCCTTCGTACAAGGAAAACTTTGGAACGAATCCAGATCACGCTAGAAACAGTTTGACGAATTGTGGCATACGGCAACCAGAATATGGAGATAGACGAATTCATTACATGAATACTAGGAAAAGGGGTAAGGAACTGATCAATAGAATCTTCTTGTATAAAATTTTAAACCTAGTAGATTTAAAGATTATGAATTTCTTCGAAATAATATTATAACATAATACTAGGATTGATAAAAACTTGTATTTAAATACACCCAGGCACTAGCATTGATTTCCTAAGTATCCGTACTGTACTCATTTTAGCAATAGTACAAAGTGGTCATACAATTAATTGTATGGGGGTCTCAATGAATTAAGTGTCTATTGAGTTACCTGACCATACTCATAAAAAGCTCTGCGAGGATAATTCAGACGTAAATGGTCGTTATTATTTCTGTAGCCCAGGTTTTTTTTTATTACAATCTGGATCCGCTCAACAGGAGCCTCATTGCTCTTTTTGATGTAAGAATGACTGTTCTAACTTTCAAAATGATGACCGGATAATTCCAGCGATACGTCATTGAATGATCATTAATTTCATCCTCATTACTTCCTTCGAGTTTTAATCCGCTGCTATCATCCATACAATCTGGAAAAAAAAAACACTAAACTCACCGTCTCGCTTTTGGTGCACCCTCTCAATGATCAATCAAAAAAAAAAAAAAATTGGCTTGAAAAATATCAGCAACATTAAAAAATTGGGTATACACATTTTATTTTTATTTTAGGAATTAACACTCTGATAAACATCATGTCGCGATTTGGAAAGCAGGAAGAAACGGAATCTAATATAACCCACAGTGAGCGTCTAGAATTTTTAGGTGACGCAGTTGTTGAATTTTTGTCTTCAATACATTTGTTTTTCTCGTTTCCTGAACTAGAAGAAGGAGGACTGGCCACATATAGGTATGTTATTGTAACAGTTGCATAATATTAATTTGTTTCTTGTGACATACTATTCCATCTTTCAAATTACTAAGCAAAAAAAATTGAAGGCCATTGTAAAAAACTCGTTTAAAAAAATTATCATAGTCATTCTTGTTATTTAAATTCTACAGCAATATCAATTTTCTTAATATTATGTTGCTTGCTGCTTGAAACGTTATTAATAAGGTCTCAGATGGTGAGGCAGTGTTGTTCAAGAAAAAATTTGAAGACTGTATATTGTTGCCCAATACCATTACTGACAACGTATTTTTATACATCTAAGGTTTATACCAACAAATGTTGAAACTGTTGTGCCTTGATCCATATTTGTTGTATGTACTTATCATTTAACTTGAGACAGTCTAATATCTCAAAAACGACGCATTTTTGAGAAAAAATGCTCAAATTAATGTTACATGGTATCACGGGGAAAGGAAAGAAAGAAACTGGTAGCACTGATTTTTTACTCTGACAACTTTTATTTGTTTTTTTTTTTTTTTTGAAAACTCGCCGTTCTGGAGATATTAGTCTCAAGTTAAATGGACCACACGGTATAGACTAAAATAATAGTTTTATGGCCAATTTCATAATCAACTTGAAGTAAAATTTATATTTAAAGCTCCATTTGAAGTTGGAAAATCCTATTCTAAAAGTCTATTTTGCTAAAGTAACTTTTAATTCTCTATTATGAAATTGGCCGTAAAATATTGATACTGCTTTAGAACTACAAACTAATTAATTGAATTTATTTTTAGGGCCGCTATAGTACAAAATCAGCATCTTGCACTTTTAGCTAAAGTGCTTGAACTCGAGCAATTCATGTTGTATGCTCATGGTTCAGATTTATGCCACGATCTTGAACTGAAACATGCAATGGCGAACTGCTTTGAAGCTTTAATGGGCGCATTGTTTTTGGATGGAGGAATTGATGTTGCCGATAAAGTATTCTCCAATACTTTGTTTAAAAATGATCCAGAATTGAAACAGGTAAAACAATTTGAATTGAGTGTACCCAACATATGGTGCATAACACGCATCAGCTTTATATTATTATTATGAATATACAAAAGTCTAAAACTCTTGTTTTTTTTTCTCGCAAATACAGGGTGTCAGTTTTTCGAGGGCAACCATTGGGATATAGGAAACGGTAAAAGATACAGGGTCGGTTATATTGGGGCATAGTTTCGAATTTTGATCCTGAATAAAATGGTACATTGACACTTGAAAAATTCCAATCACTTTCCGAGATATCCGGGAAAAAAATGAATTTTGCAAAATCGATTATATCTTTTCTCGAGACTATATATGTATGTATATAAAACACAGATGGGTTGGTTGAAGAGCTCATAACTCGAGAAGGGCTGGACCGACCTCCTTGAAATTTATACCACGTAGTCTCTATATAAAGGGGAGTGGTACAGGCTACTTTTTATCCCGGAAAACTTTTTTTTTTTTAAATTAAATTAAAAATAATACAGTTATTATTTTTTATCAAAAAATAAAAAAAAATAAAAAATTCGCATTCAACCGACGTAACTGTATTATGTATCTATCTATCCATCTATACATATATATAAAACAAACTCGGGTTGGTTACAGAACTTATAACTCGGGAACGGCTGGGCCGATTTTTATGATTTTTGTTTTGTTGGATTATTCTTCTCCCCGAATAACATAACAAGTATTGAAACATTGAAACATAAAATCAAGAAAAACAAATTTATGAAGAAAATTCACTAAATATCCATACCATCTCTTACAACCCATACCAAGTTTCCCTTGTCAGATTGCGCAGGTTGTTCGATTTTGATTTTTGTACATTTATTGAACTAATGGCCATTTCCACCAGCTTCTTAAAATGACGGTTTTCAATGGAGAAATGTCAGTTTAAGGCATGCTTATCGTTAAGGCTCCCCTGAAATAGTTGGTGGAAACGGCCTTAACTAATTTTTATTATTCATTTTTTCTTATTGAAAAACTGAATTTAATTAAGCTAATGCGTTAAAGGGGATGTGACCCAAAAATTAAAGTTTTAGTCCAAAAAAATCTAAGAATTACTATATAAACCGCATCTTGCTACGATCGTCTGTTTTCGAGTTAGGGCGGATTGAAGTTACAACTAGGTATTTTTGACGTCACACGGGTTTATCGCGGACAGTATTAACACGTGTAAGAATTTTCCAAAACAAAAGACAATTATCTCCTAGAGCGAATTGCAAATAAGATTTCTTGCAATTTCTTGTTCTTGCATTATTTGTTTTGTGACGTCATAGCAAGAGTCTTGTTGCACTCAAAGTATAGGGTACGGTTCACTGACGACTAAACGAACAGAAGACTGCGACTTCGGCGGTTGTGATAACACAAGTTCCTGCATGATTTATCTTCACAAGGAATTTTCTCGGAGACTATTTTGAATATAGGACTGCGGTTTTCACGAGAGATCCTAAAATTTTTGTCTTGATTTAAGTAGCTTAAGTCGTTTTTTTAGGGTCACACCCCCTTTAACACAACATTCATTCATTCTGAGGCGGTACGAAGTTCGCCAGGTCCGCTAGTTTCAAAATAAATGTCACTTCATCTTAGCCATTTTTTCTCCTCTTCAAGATGACATTATCAACTTCAAAATTTGACGTTTCGTCTTTTGGCCACCATCATCAACTTCATTTTTTTGAATTCGAACCTACATTTTCTATTTTAGATTTTATAAGCTTATAATGTCCCAAAACCAATGACGTATTGCACTTTTTCAAAAAATATATTATTGGCACTCTCCATTAAAACTTAGTGTTAGAGAAAGACAGAGGAGAGAATTTTGGTAGAAAATTATTAAAAAGTAAAAAAAAAATTTTTCGAATAAATGCGATACGTCATAGGTTCTATGACATCAGAAGCTTATAAAATCTAAAATAAAAAAATAAGGGTCCGTATATTTAAAAAAATTAAGTTGATGATGGTGGCCCAAAGGTCAAATTTTAAAATTGATAATGTCATCTTGTAGAGTAGAAAAAGTGGCTACGATGATGTTACATTTATTTTGAAATATTTCCCAAAATAAGCTCAGAAAAAAATAAAATCGATTTTGCAAAATTATGCTTTTTTTTCCGGATATCTCAGAAAGTGAGCGGAATTTTTCAAATGTCAAAGTACCATTTCATTAGGCAATCAATTGCGCAACTTTGCCCCAATTTAATCGAACCTGTATCTCTTACTGTTTCCTATATTCCAATGGTTGCCCTCGAAAAACGGACACCCTGTAGAGTGACATACTTTTAGACTTTTTTTTTTAAAGTTGTCAAATATTGCTATACCAACATTTTTTCTTTTTTTCAATTTCAAATAATAACAATGTAATTATAATAAAATCTTGTCTGCAATACTGCAAAATGTTAGGAAAGATAATTTGGAGTAATAACCTATTTATTCTTTTCCAACTGGTTAAATAGCTATTTTTGATACTGGTATTTTTTTAAATTTTAATTTCATATCATTTAAACTTGACTATTTTTTTCAAGCACAGTTAAATGGTCCTGAAATATAAAAATTACATTTCGTTATCACAGATGACAACTGGCATATGGCATTCAAGGATTTTGCAATAGTATATAATATCACCACCTTTTTTGGTCTGTTGCTATATATTAAGTATTGACACTTGTCAAGGATCAGTCACTGAAATTTCGTATTGACAATTTATTGGGAGAATCGTATTTTAACGGTGTCTCCTCGTTTATTACAAAACTGCTAAATAAAGGTGTTAGGTGTATAATAGCTTTCAATGTAACTTCCAATAAAATAGATATTATATTTAATACTAAGTAGTCTTAAGTAATAAATAAATAAACTGTCTTGTATTTCTGACAAGCCAAAGGCTCAGTTAGACAAAATTCGAAACAAATATCCAACATAATAAACAATTTATAAGAACTACAAGCATCGTACAAAGTAATACTTCGTACGGTTTTCAAGTTCAATATACTTTGAAAGTATGAACTTGAAAACCTGAAACACCCCCATATCAACGCGGAATGCGGATGACCAGTTTCCTCCTGGAGACGTTCAAAAATAGGTGGAAGACTGTCGTAGGTAATGCCGCAAAGAGCGGAAATGAGTTTAAATTTGAGGCACATCCTCCAAATGGGACTTTGCAACAGAATGTTTCATCTAGTGAGTAATTTTGAGAGTTATTTTTAAGAACCCAATCCTTCAGGTATGTTAACACAGTGCATCAAGGAATTTAGAAAAGAGAATAAGCTTGAAATAGGAGAAACTAGAAAAGCTGTCCACAGTGCGGGCGTTGATACTTCCTGGAAGACTATTGACTTACAAAGAAAAGTGAGCAAGCAATGCGAGGAGGTGTCAAGGAATTTGATGTTCTTGTCGCTGGTATCGCAGGAAAACTTTTGGCTGACCCTCACCTTCCTGCCCCTGGGAGGAATATTGAATATATCCTATGTACACATACAATTGCCTGCATCTAGGTGACTTAACACCTGTAAGTATGTGCAAAGGATTTTCAGACAAATCAGACAAAAGAAAAAGTAATTATGAAAAAAAAAATAGTGTCATAAATATTTGGTTTCTGCACCCACTAGATCAAACTAGTAACATGAATTTAAAGAGGTTTTCATAAATGTAAGTATGACAAGCTTTATTATATTTTTAAAATTATATATCGATCTGGTCTCTGTGGCAAAATATTGTATATTTTGGGGGCTAAAAAGTCATACGATCATTGGTTTTTAGACGTATTTGATAAGAGTATCTTCAGATGCCTGACAGAAATTGACCTAGTATTGTAAGAATGATTTACAAATTTCTTATACTTTGATTTAAGCATAAAAGAACACGGTTTACATATATAAAGTGACCAATCCATATTGTTCAGTTAGTCTGATGAAGCTACAGATTAGCGAAACATGTAACTTTTGTCCATAAATTTAGTGAAAATTGAGTAAAAATCATTATTATGTATCACTTTTTCCATCCATGGATATTATACATATATTGTCTGTCTATCAACTCACTGATTCCGTCCGTAGTGCTTGAACTATTCGCGAATCCGATCCGAGTTTAAGCCAAAATATTGTTTTGATCAAAAAAACTCAACAGCCGGTTATTTAGGCATTTCTCAAAAATTTTGGCAAATGTATCAATGACACGAATTGGTCTATAGTTATTTATTATTGGTACTATAGGCGTGACCAGAAAACCATGGAATCTTTTCAGGATTCTAGAGTCAATGCCATCAGTTCCAACAGAACAAGTTATCTTGCACAAATATTTCACTATTCAGAGCTCAAAGTGATGCACCATTAATTATATTGCTAAATGATCCTGCTAATTAGCTCAAATTATTGCACCTATTGTCTTACTAATAATCCCACTTCTGACAATAACTTGTAACAGATTCTGGGGCTCACTAAAAGTCACTTCCCAAAATACTTTCATTAAACTAATTGACTTTATATAAAATTTACTTATCACTTATCGAACTGTACACAGTAAATCTCGAATTTCCATTTTAAATGTGTTATGTCATACCTGTACTTAATGACTCATTTCAGTACCAAATGCTTAGAAAAAAATCATTACAAAAATTCGCCATATCTTTCTTATTGGAGAATGATTTCTCATCGCCACCACGAATCTTGTAATGATGAACATGGTATGCCAGTATGTGTTAAGGTAACCCTTGAAAGTTCAAGTTGTTTGAATTCTCCATAAAACCAATTTTTGTTAATTCAAAATCGGATCTCATTTTGTTCATTTTTTGTTTCTATGTATCATGGAAAGAACAATTGTTATTATTATTGTCAATTTAGTCAAAAAATTAAAAACCTATAAAATCATCTTTGCAATACAATTCTTTATCAATTCAAAAATAAAACAAATAGGTAATGTATAAACGTCTACACAAGTTATACTTTCTTACCCTGGTAATTGGAAGAAGCATCAACGTAAATGACAATGCCATCATTTTGATTGTT